GATGTGTGTAATAGCATGAATTAAAATGATCTTATTACTTTGTGTAATGTGTTTGCTTGTATAGTGGGTTGATATCTATCACGTATTCCATTTTGCTCTGTGAGTGGTGTGAGAGGGTTGGGTAGTAAGTAGTAAGAGGGGCAACCATTTTCTCCTTCATCATTGTGAGCCAGTGTGGTTTGTGAGATTATGTGTGTCGGCCTATGAGGGTTATCTTCGTTCTCTGTGTGAGCATCTTTTGTGAGTATAGTGAAGTAACCAACTTTTTCTTCTATTCTCTTAGTGAGTGCCACCTTCACCTTTCCATTTGTAGGATAAATTCTTTGTGGATTTATAAGAGCATTGGTGTTGGAGTAACCTTGTGGTACGTGGATCAATTTAAATTTGAGCTCTAACCCTTGTGGTCGCCGATAGGTGTTGATTTGCCATAGTGGATTTGGAATGTATTAGCGGTAAGTGTGTAGGTCTTTTGGTAAGGTGGAGTATAGATGCCTAGGGGTATATTGGTTGTTTGTACCGTGAGATGTGGAGTGTGATATTTAGATCACAGTGAAGATGTGATTAAATGTTTGGAATCATTTATCTGTGAAGAGACCCTGATCAGGTGGAGTACGAAAGAGGCACTTTTATCACTTCTTTTAGGTGAAGACCCATTATCCACGTAGGTTGTGATAAGTGATGTGGTGATAGAGGATTATCTCGAGAACTTAGGATCTATAGAGATTTACCAATTAGACATGTGTTGAATGATTAGTCTCGTAAGCATGGTTGGGCGATGAGGTAAGATGCGTGTTCTCGAAGAGTGAGTAACACAGAATGGGATAAGATAACTGTGGTGAGATCTTCGTGAGGTCATTTATGCATTTGTTGTATATGTGTTGACCGTGTGTTTGATTAACTTGGTGTTAATATGTTGTTCTGGGTGAGCATATTTTGAAATGATCTATGTGTTATCCTATATGATATCTCTCATCGCATGTTTATTTGCTCTTGATTGATTGATGTGATTATCTGCTTCTACTTGGGTGTTCTTGATCTTAGCATGGTGAGTATATGAAGCAGGTATGTTATGTGTTTCGGGTTCGAAATACGAGGTAAGGTCTGCGATACCAATTTTATTAGTTACCTTGATTGTGAAGTATAAATTTTGTGTTTTGTTTGCTCACAGATTTTTTGGGAATCAAGGTGGAGATTTGTTGGGCTTTTTGATACCCAATAAATTCAGACGATGATGAAAAATAGTTGTCGAGAATTTATCGACACTATACGTTTGGCTCAACTCGAATACTACCCACACTTTTGAAAGCTCAAAGTTGGGGTTTTAATTAGTATGGCTTTTTTTGTTTATTGTTAGACTCATTTATTGGTATTAAGTTGACCTATTTCCTTTGGCCCAATTTATGTGACCTAATCGATTATATAAATATCCATCTCCCTAATACTAGACATGGTGGTGCAAGAGAATAGGGCTGTAAACAAAAACCGCCAAACCGGAAAATCGAACCGAAACCGCAATTTCGAAACCGACGGTTTGGTGTCACGTGGACCCGTCAACGAAATGGTTCTGAACCAAACCAAACCGGTAAAAACGGTTTGGTTTAGGTTTGGAAATTTTAATTATGGTTTGAAA